AAATAGCTAGAGCCAGTTGTACCTAACTGGCAGGCTCCAACCGCAGCAGTCGGTCTCTTGGGACCCAAACGTTGGTTTTTGCTCTGGTCGCTCGAGTAGGCCGTGTTTGTCAACTAATGTCCCGATGCTTTTATTATAGACGGACAGATCTATTTGACAGAGCCTGGAGGCACGGCTGGGGACTGTGGAGCTCTCCCAGCTCGCGCCTGCTGGTGTCTGCCTCTTCCGCTTTATTTTGGGGGGGCTCGCTTGAAATCCTTACAGAGCCACGCCGCCTGCAGATGCGAGGGTTTTCGGAAATGTCGGCGCTCCGCCAGCTGTCCTCCCCCAGTTAAGGTGTCCAGAAAAGGCGAAGTAACGATGGTTGTAATGCAAGCAGTAAAACGTCCCCTTGTGCCATGCATGCACCGTGTTGTTTACAGGAGAAATAGATGTTGAACTGTATCACGAGGGTATCTTCATTCAAAGCGCAGGGAAAGCTTCTGTATTTGACCTTTTTGCTGTTCCTAATTTTCCTACACTATGCTAACTTTGTGCAATAAATTTGATGCCGTTAATGCTTTCTAAAAGGGACGACGGATAAGCGTTAAATGCTCTGAACGTTAAGAACTTAAGGATGTCGCAAATGTTGAACCCAGCTTTTGGTATTCTGCATAGTTTCCTGCATGGCAATACTGAGATTTCTTGATCGAGAAGTAACAAAGCAGTGAGATTATTACCTGTTAAATAGGGTGCCTTGTGTTATAGAATTAGCATATGCTTAACATGCTGTGGGGCTTTCCAATCCAGTGGCAGCCGGTAATGCTGGGTCAGCGTTTGGCTTGAGATAAGTCCTCATTTTGAAGTCCGTGTATCTCCACCGAACAAAGATGATTTGGGCTGAAATGTGATATTAAAAAAAAAAAAAAGGTTGTATGTGCATTTTAATAATCTTGTGTTCCTCTGATTTTTAACACCAGGCTTTGATAGAATTAGCTGACTTAATAGCATATTATTCCACAAACAGTGGTGTTGATTTTAAATTGCTATTCGATGCAGCCCAGCCAGGTGGATAATGGAGAAACCTGCCCTGGCTTCATCCCCTGGAGATTAAAGAAAACAGGACCCACTGTTGTAGAGATGCACTGATCCCACCTAAGCCACTGGAGATTTGCCATTGACTTCCGAGGGAGCAGAATCAGACCCATTATTTTTGGGAGGCTGCAAGGTTATTAATGAGCCTAGAGGTGGTATAGCCGTTGCTTTCCCAACTGGTTATTGTCCCTGAACAAACATTTGCTGGGCAAACGGTGAAAAACGGGAGAGCCCGCTGAGGAAGCTGAGGTTAGCAAAAATAATGGGTGCTGAAGGCCTTGCAGGTTCTGTGGGATGTAAGGGTGCTGCTCCAGCGGTCAGGCTAAAGCAGTAATAGTGCATTGCAAAAGCAGACGCTGTCGCCGTCTCCGGGTGTGCCTTGGCTGGGCACGGCGTGCGATGAGGACACCTTAGCTAACGTCGCCCAACTAACTCATCGTGCATTCCTAAGGCTCTGGGGTTTTTGCACCGCCACCTACCACCGGCTTGTTGGCGGTAACCCGCGTTTCTTCAGCGGGCCAGAGCGTAGAGGACTGAGGAGAAGGTAGGGGAGAAGCCCGGCAGTCCACCAAAGCCCTGCTGCCCCGGCCGAGTGCTCGCTCCTGGACGCGTGCTCGCTCGCTCGCTCTCTTGGACGCTCGAGTTTCTCCAAAGTGCCTAACTACTGTCACTAAAACTAATTTTAAGAGAAGAAGGAAATCACATAACCGGCTCTGTTTAAACGACAGCGCACCACAAACCAAGGCAAAGTGGGAAGTTAATGGCTCTCCATCTTCATCTCTGGCTCTTTTTCTTTTCTTTTCTTTTGTCTTTTAAAGCCCTTCCTTCTCAATAGCTTCATTTAGAGATGCCATTATTTGAGCTGCTGTTTTTTCTCACCTTTGTTTGCAAAGCCCATGTAGTTTTCCATGTGTTTGGTTAAAGAGAGAAAGGAAAAGCAAGGCTTCTTTGCAAAAGTTTGCAAATGCCAGCAGCCCCGTGATGAGCAAAGTCATACTCTTACAAAGCACTGTTGCAAAGGATGGACGGCAAAACATTTTAGCAAGGAAATGGATTTCAATTTCAACTGCCAGGGGTTATTATAACTAACAGTAAGTAAAGCCATTCATTTTAAGACTATGGAAATGACACTGACAGTACCTGTCTTTTGAAGCATGACCGTTACCAGCGCTAGACTTTTCTAAATTTCCAGGCATTCTTGCTTGATTTGTGTTGCACTCTGAACATTTTATAACGGCATTGGAAAAAGTTTTGAATGTGATTTTTTTTTTAAATAAAAATGTAGTCTATTTAATATTGTGCATAAAATAATTTTCTGTCTAAAATGTCAATATTTTTAACCTGAAATAAACCTTGTAACAAATTCATGTATTCTGGGCAGTGGAAATTATTTCCGTTAACTCTCTTTTCTGCATATCATCGATTTGCTTTTTACTCATGTTTCTCCTACTGTCGCTGTAAGCTTACTTGTTGTTTTTTCTTTCCTTTTCTTCATGCTGTCGTTTAGAGCCCTACAGAGAGACAAGTATGGGAGTAAAGCTAAACATTGCATATCAAATGTAATTTTTTTTAGTTCACTTTTATTGCATCACGTATAGACGATGTAGTTAATAAAGGAAATTCATCTCACAGTTTTGAAATCAAAAGAATAAGAAGCATATGACTATACATATGTTTATATGCGTGTGTGTGTATGTGTGTGTATATATATATATGTATGTGTACATATATGGAGAGAGAGAGAGAGAGATAAGATTAGATGATGCTGTCTTTGTTTATTTCTCGTTTTCGTGGTATCGTTTTCCCAAAGTAGTTTCTCATGTAATTGTGCTTATGAGTTGAAATCGTTTTTAGAAGTTAGCATTTTTATTTGCGAGGTCATAGCATTTTTATATGGCGTATTTCATTACCGAACCCACTCTGTTTTCAAGTGCAATGCATCCCTTTTTTTTTTTTTCCTTTTTTTTTTTTTTCCTTTTTTTCCTTTCTTTTTTTTCCCCCCCAGTAGCTACCAGCCTCCTTTTCTATGCATTGGCGGCAGAAGTAGAGCGCAGCGCCCCGATGCACGAGTTACTCAGCACGACCATCAGACAGACCCTGTTGTCACTCATTGCATCCCACCTTCTGAAAAAAACTCGTGTTTTCATTTCTCCCCAAACATCGTGGCTCGTTTGGAGACCTTCCAATGTGAAAATAAACGGCTTTGCTCTATGTCTGTGATGGCTGCTTGACGTTACGTGTAGCTTCCTTGTTTGTTGGGAAACCCGCGATACTGCAAACGCCCCCTAAGCATCCGAAATCCAAAACGCAGAAGACGTTTTTCAGGGCGTTTCGCGCAGAGTGAGAACAAAGGCGGCAGCAGCGCTTCCCAGTCGCCGACAAGTGCTACATCGCAGATATAGACCGAATCCTGTATTTTCAGAAGGTGCGCTAGCAACCAGCCCAGCGTTTTCCTCACTGATGCGAGCAATCGTCCATCTTAAATTGTCAGCTAACGGCTCCTCAGCTTGCCAGCACCGCTTGTGCAGAGTTGCTTACGGTTTTGGGCAGCACCAGAAGCCCTTAGCTGAAAATTGGGAGAATTTCATGCATTCTCATGTTTGTGGTCATTCTTAGGAGGCCAGTAATGCAAAAAAAAAAAAAAAAAAAAAAAAAAAAAGCATGGTGGTTTAACCAACCTTCCCAAGGAGGCCTGATTTTTCTCCTCACTCGCGCAGTTGTGCTGCATTGCTTTCAAAGCATTTCTCCGTGGTCTCCCGGAGCGTGAGTGAGTAAAAAAAATCAAGCTCCAGGCTGACACCGGCCATGTCAATACGCCTATGGAAATGCAAGCAGGCAGCTAGCTAAGGGGATAGCAGCCAGGCCAATTTGTTGCTCAAGTCCAAAGGTCTCGCTTCTGTGGCTGTGTGCGTGTATATATTCCTTGGGCGAGCCAGGGGGCCGCGAGGTGGGAAGTGAGCAGGTCTGCCCCACCGTCGCACTTGCGGGGCTTCACCGTATCTGCCATCGAACCCTGTGCTTCAAGGTCCAAAGCTCTTTTTAAAACACTTGAGCGAAGCCCCGCCGCCCGGCATCAGCGAGCTCCAGCATTGGCTGTGCGACAAAATTCCCCCGGCCGGTATCGAGCAAACGATTTTTGGCTCTGCCCTTGTGCCAGCCGAGGGGCGGCACTTAGCGTAGCTCCCCGAAGGCAGCTCGTGCCTCCGTCTTGCTTGCCAGGATATCCGAGCCCATCCCCAAATTTTAGCTCTGGAGGTTACGCTTGTCCTCCGGTGGGCCCCAGCGCAAAAGGGCGAGCAGATGTGGCCTTCCCCTTCCAAGCAAGTATAAGGAGGCGCTCCCCCAAGGGCCGCTGTGGGAGCGATCAGTCCATCCTGTGAAGGCTTGGCCTCAGCTGGGGCGAATTGTCCGTGTCCTGGGCCTGGCGGCAGGACAATTTGGACCAGCTAAGGCTCGCGGCTTTCCCAGCTCCCCAAGGAATATGTTGGAGCAAACCCCACGAGCCTTTGGAGCAGCAGTAGCAAGAGGAAGCCTGTGCGAGGAGACGTTGTTCCTTCTTGCCGGCTATTGCCCCGTCCAGCGTAATGCTCGACGGCGGCTTCCCTTGGCCCAGCGGGAAGGTGGTAACCCCCTTAGCCGGGGCGCCGGCCCCCCCAGCCCAGTAAAAGCTGGGTCTTTGTTCTCGCCACGGCGCGCTAGGCGCGCCGGGCGGCAGCCCGGGCAGGGGGTTTTGCGTGTGCCCGTGCCGCGTGAGTGTCTTGTGTGTACAAGTCACCCTCTCTTGTGTAATATGTTTTTCAGAGGGGCTTCTGAACAATGCCAGGGATACAAGTGTCACGGATACTCTACCACTGAATGGTAATCACGGCAACAGCTACAGCATCGCCAGCGGCGAGTACCTGAGCAACTGCGTGCAAATAATTGACCGCGGGTACAACCACACCGAGAACGCCCTCGAGAAGAAGATCCTGAAGGAACTCACCTCCAACTACATCCCCTCCTACCTGAACAACCACGAGCGCTCCAGCGAGCAGAGCCGCAACCTGATGAACAAGCTTGTCAACAGCGTCGGCGGCGAGGACGACGCCATCGTGCTGGACGACGCCACCTCCTTCACCCACGAGGAGAGCCTGGGCCTGGAGCTCATCCACGAGGAGTCGGACGCCCCGCTGCTGCCGCCCCGGGTGTACGCGGCGGAGAACCACCAGCCCCATCTCTATGCCCGGCGGCGCATCCCGCAGGACAACAGCGAGAGCTTTTTCCCCTTGCTGACCAACGAGCACACGGACGACCTCCAGTCACCCAACAGGGATTCTCTGTACACCAGCATGCCCGCCCTGGCCGGCATGCCCATAACGGAGAGCGTCACCGCCAGCACCCAGACCGACCCGCCGGCGGCCAAAAGCGGTGATGCCGACGACGTGTACTACAAAAGCATGCCAAACTTGGGCTCCAGGAACCACGTCCATCAGCTCCACACGTACTACCAGCTCGGGCGAGGCAGCAGCGACGGTTTTATAGTGCCGCCAAACAAAGATGGGACCCCCCCGGATGGCCCTGTGAAAGGACCTGCTCACTTGGTCACTAGTCTATAGAGGGCGATGGGGAAAAAGGAAAAAAAAAAAAGAAGTGGCCGACAAAAAAAGCCCCTCGGCAGCGCTCGGGTGGCCGTTCTGCGTTGGGACGAGCAGCGGTAATAGTGTGTGTGCTCCTCAGTCTTCACGCTGTTCCAAAACAAATGAACCTCTCGGACTTTTTTTACTGGAATTTTTAGGCCAGCCCGGAGAGAACAGGAACTGCTGATACCCCCTGCCCAACCCCTCTTTTTTTTCCCCTTCCTCCCTTCAGACAGACTTCATTATGTTAATGAAAGCGGTTTGACAGATAATGGCACACTTCGCGGCCTTCTCAAGTTATGCTGTGTTTGTTTAAGAAAAAAAAAAAAAAAAAACCTTGATGCTGTGTTGCTCTTAATACCCAGGACCTGATTTAAAAAAAAAAAAAAAAGGCCAAAAAAACCTCGG